GTAGTAGGCCAGACCGGAGATGGCGGAGAGCTGGGCAGAGCCGTCCTTGGCCTCCCAGACACCGAAGAGGCGGACGAGGAGGTTGTCGGAGAAGCGGGAGTACAGCATCTGGCTGATGAGGAAGATGTTGGAGGACAAAGCGGACTGCAGCATGATGGGCATGTTGGAGGTGTAGAACAGGCGGACGGGGTACGAGCCGCGGGCACCACGCTGGCGGGAGGACTTGACGGGGATCTCGACGCGGAAACCCTGGAGGTAGATGACGGCGGCGAAGACGGCAATGGTGGCCAGGAGGTTCATGATGTTGGGGAGGTTCTGGCGGTAGAAGGCCTCCTGGAGAGCGCGCTGCTTGTTGGGCCAGGTGAGGAGAAGGTGGAAGAGGGCAATGACGGCACCCTCGAACTCGGGGCCACGACCGGTGTTGATGGTGGTGGGGGAGAAGGCCTTCCACATGATGGACTCGCAGATGTTGGTGGCGATGAACAGGGAGATACCAGAGCCGAGGCCGTATCCCTTCTGCAGAAGCTCGTCGAGGAGAATGACGATCATGCCAGCGACGAAGAGCTGGAGGATGAGCAGGAAGACGATACCGGCGCCGAGGTCAGAGGGGCGGCCGTAGAGACCGGTGAAGACGTAGACAGTGGCGGTACCGGCAGAGAGGATGAAGGCAAAGAGCTTCTGGGCGGTCTGGTAGAGCTCGCGGTCGCTCTTGAGGTCGAGGTTGACGTCGATCATGTGGGTGCCGGCAAGGAGCTGGAAGACCATGCCGGAGGAGATGATGGGAGTGATACCCAGCTCCATCAGGGTTCCACGGTTACTCGCCATGACCATACGCAGCCAGTATAGGGGATCCGAGTTGTCGGAGGAGACAATGCCGTACAAGGGCATCTGGCTCATGACCAGGAAGATGAGGAGGGTGAGGGCCGTCCACATCAGCTTCTGGTTGAAGGGGACCTTGGTCTCCGGCTGCTGAACCTCGGGGAGGAACGGCACGAACGGCTTGACCAGGTCGAGGAACCGTACTGCGGGAGAGAAGCGCGAATGTTAGCCATTGTGGTTCTCCTGATGCGAATTGGTGAGGCAGAATCGGCTATCGCGACCGGGGTCGTAAATATCGCGCGCGTGTCCTCTCGGGAGGTTTGCGACAGGGCGGCAAAGCACGCGATTCTGGGGGCTGGTCGAGGTGGTCTTTTTGGGGATCAGGTACTTACGAGAACTCATGATGGGCTGTTACACAGGGGGGGACACGGAAGGAACAAAAAACCAAAGGATCTAAATCATCCAGATGAAGGGGACAAGAAGGAAGAGGTAGAGAGCGACAATGGCTCCAAGTGTGGCGAAGGGGAAGGTGATGGTGTTGGGAGAAGGGAGGTTATTAAGGAGAGGAGGAGGAGGACCTAAGAGCTCGGGGCAAAAAAGAGGGTCGGCTGCGATCTGGCTTCAAAAACGCCAAATTGTCGATGTGTCCAAAAATTGGTGGAGCTTGGGGACGCACGTGACCGTCACATAAGCTGCAATTTTACTGGGTAAGGAGCTGGGGTCTACTGAAGGCGCTGCTGGGTATGGCAATGCTACGCTACCTTAATCCTCCAGCGCCCTTTTTTAAGCGTGCTTCAGTGCTTTTCGCCTCAGGGGTCCAGACGCGGGGCCTGGAAGGGAAGCTGACGGGACCCGACAGCACAGGGCAGGGAAGCGGGTGGCTGCCCCCAGGCCTTCTGGCGCGTTCCGATGCCTTCTGATGCCACATTCCCATTTAGAGAAGCCTGGAACCACCAAAAAACCGCAACAACACCAACCACAGCGACCAACGCCAGCCCCGCGATCCGGACACACCACACGCTCGGGGAAAAACCTGTCATTGCACGACGCAAGACCCAGCCTCTGACGGCCACGATGCTGTGATCCTTCTGAGTCATTGCTAGGCAGGACATTCTTTCTGGTATGATCTTTCGGTCAACGCTTGGCCGAAGGTTCTTACACAATGTTGCTGGCAAGATGACAGCTCGACATGCGCCCACGGACCCTTTGGTGGTCATCCTGGGCTCGACCGGCACAGGAAAATCAGAGGTGAGCACCACCACCACTCTTGCGGCGCATGCTGCCTCGATGCGACCGGGCAATGCCCCGCGCCCTTGCGACCCAGGCTGACGTCCTCAAAGCTTGCTGTAGAGCTTGCGACTCGCTTCAAAGGCGAAATCATCAACGCGGATGCGATGCAGATGTACAAGGGCCTGCCCATCATCACGAATAAGATAACCGACGAAGAGCGCCGCGGCGTGTCCCACCACTTGCTCGACCACATTGGCCTCGACCAACCCACTTGGATTATTGAGGACTTCAAGCGCGAGGCGAACAGAGTCATCAGCGAGATCCGGAGCAGGGGCAACTTACCCATCGTCGTCGGCGGGACGCACTACTACACGAATGCGCTGCTATTCGCAAACTCCCTCGTCGGTGGGGAGGGCGACAAGCCCAAGGATGCCGAAGTCAGTGACGAGCAGGCCGGCGAGACGTTCCCGATTCTCAACGAGCCGACTGAGGTGATACTGGCGAAGCTGAGGGAGGTCGACCCCGTCATGGCGGACCGCTGGCACCCCAACGACCGGCGCAAGATCCAGCGCTCGCTGCAGATCTATCTGCAGAACGGCCGCCCTGCATCCGAAATCTACGCTGAACAGACCCAGCGCAAATTGGCTGAGGCCAAGGCGTCTGGTGCTGGTGGGTGGAAGACGCTCCTCTTCTGGGTTTACTCGGATCCCGAGGTGTTGAAAGAGCGCCTAGACAAGCGGGTGGACAAGATGCTCACGGCCGGCCTGAACGACGAGACTCAGTCCATGTACGAGTATGTCCAGAAAAAGCAGGCCGCCGGCGAGGAAGTGGACTACACCCGTGGCATCTGGCAGTCAATCGGCTTCAAGGAGTTCGAGCCTTACCTCAAAGCGCTCAACAATCTCGATGAGCCCGCCGAGCCTGTCGCCCTCGAATCTCTCAAAGCAACATGTCTCGAAGACATGAAGGCCTCGACGCGCCAGTACGCAAAGTACCAAACCCGCTGGATCCGCACAAAGACCGTCCCGCCGCTCCAAGAACAGCCCGGCGCAATGGACCATCTCTTCGTTATGGACAGCACCGACATCTCACAGTGGTCGTCCAACGTAATCGATCCAGCCGTCGACATCGCGCGACGCTATCTCGAGGGCGACAGTCTGCCTGACCCGGCGGGCACATCGGAGAGAGCAGGCGCGGTGCTGCAGGAAGTCGCGTCGCAAAAGACGGTCACGCAGCGGCGGCAGACGTGCGATATCTGCCAGACGACCTGCGTGACGGAGCAGGACTGGACGAAGCACATCAAGAGTAGGCGCCACAATGTGCTCGTCAGGAAGAAAAAGGCGAGGGCCCTGGTAGCCACCGAGAGGCCCATGGCTGTTGTTCCAGTTGAAGCTCAAGCTGTCGCCGCCGAGCCCGTAGATAAACCCTCAAGTCCGGAGGCAGGTGTCCTAGACATGTTCGAGGAGCCGTCATAAACCCGTTAAACAAAAGAAAACGAAACTTTGCCCATCTCTTGCCGTGCCGCATCGGAGTTCATCTGACATGTCTCACATACTCCCCTCATATCGGCTCATCCTGTCGCCGGCACAAATGCATCACCTGACAACTACAAAGGCCGCGTATAACTGCCCCCTTATCACAAGCTCATTTAACCCATCTTTATACAACATAATTCTAGACTTTCGTCGGATCTACACTGCGTAGGTATCATAACCCGCGTATTTGCCCCCATTACTCGCGCGCGTATTCGCAAACGATAGCCTTTGTTGGAGAAGGTGTAAGTTCAGGCTGCTCGTTCCTCGCATTGCTCGGTTCTCGCTTTCGTGTTCCCAAACCGAGCTGAACGAGCTGCTCCGTGTGGAGCCCAGCCAACACATCCACAACGGCGATCCGAACGGGATTCACGAAACGGGATTCATACCTCTTTCGTCGGATCGTTTGGGTTCTTTATTATTGTTTTCACGTGGGATGTATTTACGGGCCGTGCTTTATGCTCGTGGGGGTGGGTTTTGGGATACAGGCCGGGCGGATGGTTTCCTACAGGCTCTTGTGACGTATGATTTTGGGAATGGTAATTTTCGAATTTACCTTTCGGCTGCGATCCGACTCCCGGCAGCATTGATTGCCTGTGCCGTGGAAGACGTGCATGGCGCGAGGTGGTGGCAGGTCGGTGATAGCCCCCAGAGATTCACTGCGTTTTTAACCCCTCCCGAGGGACTGCCACCCACACAAGCCCGCCGAGAGATGCCAAGTCTCTCAAGCATCACAACGCGTTAAGCTTATCATAAGGCTGAGCAACACCCATTTGACGCGTGCTTCCAAGCCATCTCTAAATAAAGTCATCCAAGTCCTCATCCCTTGGGCCTAAGATATATTGCCATGGCCCGATTTACGGATCGACAGACAGGGCAGGGTAGGGTCGTCCTCGTTCTCGTCATCGGCTCGTTCTCGGTAACGGTTGTAAATGACGCCAACTAAACACCAATTTAGCCTGCTACTACAGACGATAGTATATTATGGGATGAGATGAATGGCATGATTTCTGCCCTGGGCAAGGGTTGCGGACTTTGGAATTAAGGACCGTTCCGCTGAACGGTTCGGGTGGGCGTGGTGGCGGAACGGAGGGTTGTGAATGGAGTTCCAACATCGTCCCCCGTCCTGAACCGGCGGAGAGGTGGGGAAGCTGTAGTCCGTGCTTTTTTGGAGAAACGACCGCAATGGAAGTCTCTGAGCAGATTGAGGTGCCTGAATATGGCCATAGGGACACGATTTGCGGAATGAGAAACAGTATACATCAAGAAACATAAAATTTGGCCTACCATGTACTTTTTTCAGAACCCGTATCTACAAAAAAAAGAAGTCCCCGTCCATGATCCAGTGTTGTAGTCAAAACAAGTTTTGTGGTGCCGTAACCCGCCCCCTTTTTTGGCATGTAGCGATGGGAATTCTTTTCAAATCTGACTCTTCACCCACTTCTCAAGACCACCCTTGGCGATGATTTCTGTGAGATGTCAGTACTAATTCCGCAAAAAAAGCTGCTGGGTTGATTGCTCCGTACCTTGTACGTTGGGCGGCAGCTCGCCGACCTTGACGCTCCAGCTCGCGCCGTCCTTCTCCGTGACGACAACCTTGCTCCTCTTGACGTCCCAAAGAACCTTCCATCCCGTGCGACGGGTAAGAACCTTCTCCTTCTCGTCCTTGAATGCTTCGCGCAGACGCTCGACCAGCTTCGGGACTTCGAGTGCCATCAGCGCGTTATTGACGCTGTTACGACTAAAGATGTTGCTAAAGCTGCCAGCGATGACCATGGGAATGCCCTTGGCGAGAATAGCGGTCGCGGCTTGCTCTCTCGATGAGCCGGTACCAAAATTGTACGAAGAAACAAGGACATCTCCTGCCTTGGCAATATGACGGAACTCTGTGTCGTAATTCTCCATACAGACTTCCGCCATCTTCTCGGTTGTGACGTCGTCTTGGTACGTGTATTTTCCCTGCAGCACGAGTTAGGCCTATTTGATGCCAACAAGCGGGTCAGAAGGAGGCATACGGGGTAGATTCCATCAGTGTTGAGGTTGTCTGCATCGCAAAAGACGATCTCGCCCTCAATCTTCTCGGGGAATCCGGGAAGCACATCGGTCAGCGTCTCCTCACCATTAGCGGCAGCAGCCTCGCCTTCAGGGGCACCTGAAAAGCCCTTCTCGGACTCAGCAATGAGGTCGTCGGCTTGAGAGATCAGCTTCTCAAGAGCATCCTCGATGCTGCTAGAGATGTCGGCGGTGATGTCACCAACACCCTCGCCGATAATGACCTTGTCGACGCCCTCCGGCTTCTGGTACCAGCCCGGTCCCGCGATCTTGCCCTGCAATGCACTGGCTGCAACGACTTCAGGGCTGGCCAGATAGGCCTTAGCGTCAGTTGAACCCATGCGACCCTTGAAGTTGCGGTTAGAGGCTGAAATTCCGACTTCACCTATGAGGGTGTCAGTACATCGTCAAATTAACGCTTGCGTCCGAAAATACCTGGCTCAAGCAGGCCGGTGCCCAACCCGATGCAGGGGCCGCAGCCCGCAGGTAAGATTTGTGCACCAGCATCGGCTGTAAACGCATCAGAATGGCCGCTCGTCTAGTTTGTCTGGAAGAAAGGGGACATACTGAGAACCTCCCAGTCTCCGGAAGCTTCTGCAGCTGCTTGTTCTGTGCGAGAGGCAGCAGCCAAGTAGAACTTCACACCGGGAGCCACTTTGGCCGGTGAACCCTTCTCAGCAGCCTCACGGAAAACGCGAGCTGCAGCTGCGATGTCTGAGGCACGGGAGTTCGTGCATGAAACCAGATATGCCTTGTTGACCTTGATATCTTGTGCTTCAAGATCATGCAAAGGTGTTGCGACCTTGACAGAGTTGGGACCGGCAACGAAGGGGCAGAGGGTGTCGAGGTTCAGGTATAGTTCCTTGGCGTAGACTGCGCCTGGGTCGGCTGTCACGGGATTCTCAAAGAGTTTCTCGATACGCTCATGGGTGAAGTTTGTCTTGGCAGGCCCCTCCACGTTGAGCATAGCGTTGGTGGTAGCCTTGGCCGTCATCCATGCCTTCAAAACCGAGTCCATGGGAAAGATGCCGGCACTGCAAACAAGTTAGTCAAGTTATCGGCTTCGTGATGATTGCGCAGGACGTCGCCTTGTACGCGATTGATTGGCTGCGCAATTGAAGCTGATAGTTTGATTGGCCGAGATAAGTGGATACCATCTGGTCAACCAAGAACTACCGCCCGGAGAGCAAAACTCTTGCAGAATGACTTACGCAGCGCCGTGTTCGGTGGTCATGTTAGCAACGGTCAATCGGTCGTCAACTGGTATGCTTCGCATCGTCTCTTCGCTTCCGACGAATTCAACGCTATGGTTCAGAACTTCGTCCTTGTTGAAGAGACCGCAGAGTGCCACGATGATATCCTTTCCAGTAGTTCCTGGGCGCAGAGTTCCAGTGAGAGTGATCTATGCGCGCGATCAGTATCTCCATAGATCCTCTTGAGATATTGCGTCTGCCCACCTTAGCGATCGGGGGTACCTGCCACCAAGTCTTTCCAGTAGCCCAAACGGCTGCGGCATCAGTTCGTACGAGCGCAGTTCCCTATTCAAATTAATTTCCAGAGACACAGGAGGGTCAGCGGCCGAGAACTCACCAATGCGCCGACTCCGCCGTACATGTTGCTGTGCTAAAACAGCCAACAGTCAGAATCAATTTCCACCTACTACACAAAGGAAAGGTGAAAGACGAACGCTGTCCGAGGCCACAGTTACAGTTCCAGGCCAGGCAAATCCATTCTCAACCATGATTTGATGCCCAATACCATCTCCGGCTCCGGAAAAGAACGTGCCGTGCTTCTTCCCGAATTCCTCGATGAGTCTGTATTGCATGAGAAGAAATTACGACTGCAGGTGTAATATCGAGCTTACCTATATTTCTGCATTGTTGAAGCAGGTGTTAGAATGGTAATTGCTCAAGTATCATCAAAAACTAACCTTCAAGTTGCCGTCGCTCTTATTTTGAACGTCATGATCCAAGGTCTGTGAAAGTTAGCCTTATCCTTTTGCAAATACCTCATTCTGATCTCATTCTGAGCTGCACGATGGTCGGGTATGGTGTAATTATTGCTTGGTTGGTGGAAGAAGAAGAGAGGGGGGNGGGGGGGGGGATGTTGATCATACCAAGATAACTTGATCCTTGTCATGCAACTTCGTAGCACCCAGACCCATAAACTTGAGAGCGACCGGCCTTTTTTCTGTCAGAAAGAACGTAGATATTTGGGCTTATAGGTTTCGATGTACCAACTGTTGTCGTGGGTCATGATCCTGGCATGATGTTAGTCGTAGTAGACATTGACAGGCTCCCAGACGACGCACTTGTGCGGTTGCAAGGTGACATAGTCACCCGTGCGAACCTTCTTCCCAGGCGCAAGACCGACAGAGTAGTTCTGTACGATCTTTTCCGTCATAGTCTGGGGGTTCTGGATGACGCTGGGCCCCGCGGCAGCGTGGCTCTCAAGCTGGGAGTGGAAGGCATTCTGTCGCAAACGGGCAGAAGTCGTGTACAGACTCGATCGGATCGGTCGCGGAGCAGCAACGTGTCTGGGGAGGAACTGTCGGCAGGTTCGCGCGGCGTGGAAGGCCACGGCTCGTCTCTGAGCAGGGGGTGCAGGTTAGCGATGAAGTCGTAGCAGCGAGGTCGGAGACGGCAGAGTGACATACAACGGGAAGCATTTTGTGCTATTATTTCGAGGCCAATGGCCGTTCGGATCGATTTGTATCGTGCTGCAGTCCCTTCGGCCGGCCGTCTGCAACTCGGGATACGGTGGTGGTGGAGGTTTGCGGCGATTTGAGGTTGCTCGTCACTGTTTTTTCGGCGTCGGTCGCGATGTCGGCAGTGGTGGTTGTGACTCCGGCCAAAAATTTGGAGCATGTGGGGAAGGAATTGCTCTGACGTGGGGTTCCCGCAAACTGATTGGCCTGTTGGGGAAATCAGCATTAGGGCGTTGCTGATTGGCTGAAGCCATTTAACAGCCAACGGCACGCTGCGCTGTGAGGCCCGCTCTGAGTCGTTTTAAGCGACATGATTGGCTGTAGATTGTGCGCTGCTCCGAAGACTTGAAGTCGCGATGAATGTCACTGAATGAGTGCCATTGATGGTTCGTCGTTGGGCGCTTGGTTCGTCGTTCAATTGAAGATGCTGTGTACTCGTGAGTTGAGATCGTGAATAGCTGCTATCCCAACTCCCTAAGTGATCTGAGAACGTAGAAGTTGCCGCTTGGGGTTGACAGGAACAGGTGGGATGCTGCCCCCATCCCCAATTCCTCGACTTGCAGCAGAATGACGGCCGACCAGGGCAGAAAAAAGGAACGAGCCGAATACGACGGAAGACGGCGGGATGAGTGGCCGGCCATCGGGACACGGAGGTAAGGACGGGCTCAGGTTACCACCGGCTGGGCGGAGCAACAGCCCCTTCCAGCGGAGCTCTGCAGAACTTCAGACGTCGAATTGTGGATTCGTGAACGCTGTTGAGTTGAGTCATCAGTCCGCTCCTCCATCTGCCGACCGGCATGGCCCCACGCGCGTGGAACAGGTGGAGGGCCCGTCAGAGGTGAGTGTGGTCACGATGCCGCTGAGGAGGCCGTGGGATGTCATAAGGTTTGTATAAATTGCATAATATGAGATCGGGAACATCTATCCGTGCACAAGTCTATGAGCCGCACGCAACCACCGCCGCAGCTAGCCTTTTGCACAAGATGCAGCCGTCGTAAAACCTGAGAAAGCAACCCATTTGCACGCTAATCACCTCGCACTTCGGCATCTTGGCAGGCATCTGTTTATTGCAAGATACGTAAGGGTCGGCCCTGTTATACCCCGACCTCGCCCACCACAAGTCGGTCTTGGTAAGGCACCCTGTGTCTATCTGGCGGATCTGCTCCACGTGTCCAACTTGGTACGGAGTACGGGACAGAGCAGAGACAACTGTATGCAAGTACGGACATTCAGTTGAGAGAGTTGTGCGCGCGCGCAGTTTCCTGGTCACGGCAGAGTGCCACCGGTTGGGTGCATTATGCCAGCATTAGACTAGGTTGGCGTTGTACAATGCCTTGACGCAATGTCACTGATCCGATGAGTACGAGGGGAACGAGGGATGGCGGGGACTTTGGCCCTGTTCAAGCTGGTGTTGCGGATAGCTATGCCCCCCATGAGTGTCTCCTGCGCTACAACAGCGCCTAGGAAGTGCTAAGATGATGTGCACGCGCGGGTAATAAATCCCACCTGCTGATGCTGGTGCTGATGCTGGTGCTGATGCTGATGCTGATGTGAGGGATGAGTTGGGGTCGGGGAAGTGACAGTCTCTCCTGCCTGTTTCCCCTTGCTGCAGCAGCATAGGCTCATTTGCGCTTCCAGCTGGCTCATTGTGGCTCATACCTGCCTGCCGCTGAGGAGTTCCATTTTACGGCGGTAGAGCCTGAGGGGGTGCCTTCACATTACCGAGACTCTGCGTTGCCCGGACCTCTTTTCACCCCTTCTCATCTCCATCTCCATCTTCCATCCCCCTCCATCCAATTCTCGCACATCGTTTTTACGACTACACACTGGTGGCTGCTGCAGTGTTTCTTCCCCGCCCTGCTGCACTTGCGCAAGGACGTTGACGTGAATTCTGAATTCTGTCAGGAACTCTCAACCGTCACCCCGCCGTCCGCCCGCCGTCCCTGCTCTGCCCACCCACCCTCTTCCAACATCTCATCCCCTCCTCTACCTTGCCTTACACCACTACCTCCAGCCTGTCTTCCACTTGTTCCCGAACTCCTTCGGTACCGTCCTTTCCCGTTGCGCTCTCTGCCCCTTCCCTGTCCATCAACCAACTAACTACCCTACCTGACCTACTCCCGTCCATCCCTGCTCTACATACCTTCCGCAGTAGGTACATGGCCTTGCCTTGCCTTGCCCTGCATGGCCGCTGCCGCTGCCGTACCCTGCCTTCCTGACCTCACATCGCGTTGAACCCTGGAGTTGATCGCACTTATTTGTTGCCTGTTCTCTCTTCTCGACCGCCTATCCATCCCTTCGCATCCGCTTAGTCCTTACTTAGTACGACCAGACGTGGCTGCACATTGTAGGCTCTTCCGAACCTCGGCGGACTTTGGCATCGAGGTTCAGCCCAGATTTACGACGGTGGAAACGTCCAAAGTATATCCGCACTGCGGCCACTGCTACGCAGTACAACACATACACCAAACTCCGTCCCAGGGCCAGGGTTCTGTTACCTTGCATCCCGTCGCCGCAGAGGAGCTCGAGGCTAGACCGCGCACATGCGCCCAGTTGGCCAGCATCCTGTCGTCATTCGTCCGCCCAACGTCCGTTTCGTCCGTTCCCTCCGGCGACCTCACCCCCTCTTGACTTGAGTCTCTGAGTCTTGCTTGGATTGATCGACCTGCTGCCCTATCTCTCCTCTGCTCCCGTCCACGTTCTAGCTTTCTGTCAACTGCCCGCCTTTTCTGCCTCCTGTCGCCGCAGTTGCTGCCTATTAATAATTGCGACGTACCACCACCACCACCACCACCTGGGTACTTTACTCCAACTGACCAACTGAACCGGACGGAAACCTGCAACACAAACGTCGTCCCTGTTTGAATTGCGACGGAATCTCTCGGGCGTCAAAAAGACATCGGCAGCCTTGGAGGGGTACAGTAACCACTTTATCCTATCCTCCTCCACTTCCCTAGCCACTCGTCTCCATTCCTCTACCCTCTACGGATACCGTACCTAGCGTAGGGAGGGAGCACTGGACAACTGGAGTCTCGAGTTCACACACACCCGACTTTACCTTAGACATATATTGGGCCCCCGAAGATCAGCTAGGCGCAAGCGGGAGAAACCCAGTGAGACGCACACGACACGTCCCGCAGCACCGGTCAGTCCTTTTGTGCTCTTGGCTGGGTAGTGCTGCATCGGAATTCCTGGAATCCCGACGAGTCAGGCCGAGTAAACTTGACCCGCGCCCGCATTCGATTGATTCTTCATACTTCTTCTGGACCGCCGCCTCCGCCGCCGCCGAACGCCTCATCAGCGCAGCAGCAGCAGCAAGCAGTTCGAGACCAGCCTGACCAGTCCAGTCAGCAGAAACCACTCAGTCTCACACTCACTGACTGCCGTTTGCCTGCCTGCCCGGTAGCTGTTTGTCCTCCTGTCTTGCATTTGCATTTGCTTCTTTCCCACATTCTCCGCCGCTGCGCCTCCTCTTTCCCATCCTCGTCCTCTACGTTCTCTCTCTTTCTCACACACACACAAACACATACACACATCTGGACACCCACCCACACCTATCGCGCAACTCCAACCTCCGCCTCCTGGTACCTATCTCTCCCTCCAGCCAATCCTTCTATCCCTCCCACCGTATCCCGCACAACGAAGATACGGCGTCTGCGGTTCGGTAACGCAGCAGCACAGGCCTGAGGATTACCATCGCACATATCAATCCCAGGCACCCGTCACCCGTCTGCTCACCATCATTACCGCACGCGCGTCTTCAAACAAGGCGCCCCGGCTCGCAGCTTCAGCCAACTCGAACCCTGGCTACTTAGGCCAGGCCTCCCGTCCGCTCGTCCCGGACCAGCCCACGATCAACCCTCGACCAAAGCCGTATTGCTTCCGCCAACTCCCTCACTCCCGCCCTCGCCCACCATCTTCATCCGCCGCCGCACTGAGGTGCACAACTGGGGAAGCATAACGATCCAAAGCCGTTCTCTCGCGCTAACCCCCGCTTTGGTTGGTCATCGACGCCGCCTCGAACCAAACGCAACCCAGGATCCCATTTTCTGCCAATTTCTAAGCCAAAAACTTTACTTTGCGCTGTGCTAAAGTGCGCGACCACCTGCGATCCTCGTCAGAGGGGGGCTCTTTATTCCCACTAGGGTCGCGTCAATACTCGTCTTCATTTATTACCTCTCAGGTCTCAGATCTTGGGCTCGCCACACCTTTTCCTCCACTTCCCTTTTGCTGAACCAGAACCCCTGCAACTTCTCTATCGTCGTCGTCGGACTGCTCCCGTGAGGGACTGATCATAAGGGCCGCGCGCCCACGCGTTCCGAGTCTGCGGGTTTGATACCCCAATACATGGACGAGTTCGTCCTGTTTCAAAATCCTTCTGTGGCGACTATCGCATTCCCATAGGCCCCTCAGCCTCAGCCCTACCAATGATGAGCACCACCTCGAGCCAGCACAAGAGCCCGCGGGTTCTGGCTTGCGTGCTCTGCCAACATCGCAAGATCAAATGCGACCGCAATACCCCATGCTCCAACTGTATCAAGGTGCGCTGTCGAGACCGTGAAGTTATCTAGTACTCTGGCCGCTGACTCGCATAGGCCAATGTCACATGCACTCCCTCCACACCAGCTCCTGCGCGCAAGAGACGGAGGCCAAATCAGGACTTGCAGGAGAGGTTGGCCAGGTGTGAAGCTCTGTTGAAGCAGTATGCCACGACCGGTTCAACGACGCCTCCCGCCGGCCCTCCCACCGTCTCGAGCATTCTTTCTCCCTCAACCCAACCCACCCCCTCTTCAACAGCAGGTCCGTCCCCAAGTATAACGCAGCTGCCATTGCCCACAGGCACAGCCTCGATTATCGACGACATTGGCTCGCCTGCGACCTCACAATGGAAGCCAGCCGGCAAGGTAGTCGTAGAAGATGGCAGCGTCAGGTTTATGGACAGCTATCTGTGGGCTACCGTTCATGATCAGGTGCGTAGCGTCTCGCCGTTTGGGCAGCTCATGGCCTGCTCTTCTGCTCAAAACAGAATCCTAACTCCTCGTAGTTGACAGCTATGCGACAAATCATCGAAGCAGAAGAGGAGGAGCAGAGTGTTCTCGGTTCCGACGCCGTTACCCCCGACGACAACGTGGATCTCTTGCTCAACGACTTTGCTGCCATCGACCTCGAGGACGTCACTCCGTCGCCTGTTCAGATCTTCAGACTTTGGCAGGTCTTTTTGGAGCGGGTCAACCCCATCACCAAACTCATCCACGTCCCCAGTCTGCAGCCCTTAGTAGTCGAAGCGGCAGCAAACCACTCTAATGTCGCCAACAACGCCCAGGCACTGTTGTTCTCCATCTACCTCGTCGCGACCCTTACCATGACCGAAGCCGAAGCCAGGCAGATGCTCGACTCTTCCAAGGAGGATGCGCTGAAGAAGTTCACCGCGGGTGTCAAGGCAGCGCTGACCAAGGTCAACTTCCTCAAGAACCACGACATGATGACTTTGCAGTCTCTTATTCTCTACCTAGTCCGTTCTGACTGTGTTGCCAAAAAAAAAAAAAAAGGAACTTGCTAACATCGTCTAGGTCTCTCTCCAAGGCCGCTACAACCGCCACGCCGCCTGGGTGCTGAGCGGTGTGTTAATACGAATTGCGCAAAAGATGGGTCTGCACCGTGATGGAGACTCGCTCAACCTCACCCCATACGAAACCGAAATGCGACGGAGGCTCTGGTGGCAGATCATCATGCTGGACACCAAGTATGCGATGGTCTCTGGATTTTGCGACACGCTACTGCCGTGGAACTGGGATACGAAAACGCCGCAAAACGTGAACGACGCCGATCTTTTCCCCGGCTCGACGGAGCCCGTTCAGCCCCGAGAAGGCCCCACCGAGATGGCTTTCTGCCTGCTCCTGTACGAGGTTGGCCGATTCATCGTCGAGAACCGAATTCCCGACTTCGAGGCAGTCGTGCTGGGCGCCATGGAGAACGAGTCTCCCGAGTCTCAGGCGACCAACCTTGCGACATTGGCCAAGTACCGCACACTCGTCGACAATCTCGATTCGAAGCTCATTGCCCTCGAGAAGAAATACTGCGATCCTTTGGCAGGCAACATTCACATTGTGGCAACCAAGATCCGTTCTATGATCATTGACAAGATGCGAACGATGATGATTCCGATGCGCGAGCTACCGGAATGGGGCACCGAGATCTTCAATGTGCAAGATAACATGTTCAGGATATCCCTGATGCACCACGAACACAACGTCGAGCTCTATGAGTTTATGGAGAACACTGGGTTCGTGTGGTTTTTCAAGCTGCACTTCCAGATTGACGTGTTCATCGTCATGGCCGGACAGCTCTACAAGCGACCTACGGGCAGACTTGCAGACCGCGCTTGGAAGGTTATTGACAGGGTGTACCAGTTCCACGAGGAGCTGTGGGACATGTCAAGGAAGGAGAATGTGCAGCTGGGCATTTACATGCTCAAGGCGTGGAGGGCACGAGAGAGATCCTTGGTACAGCTTGGCATGCCCTACGAGACACCCCTGGCAGTACCCCGACTGCAGGACATTGTACCGCAGTCGAACTCGGAGGTATCATCAGCAGGACCGTCCCCCGCCCAGCCGATGAAGATGGAGGTTCCTCCACGACAAGATCAGCCCATGGACCAATATCTGGGCAACTTCCTCGATACGACGAATTTCTACGATTTGGACATGTGGGCGGACCTGGGTGTTCCCAACGGTAACATGAATCAGCAGTCCGCGGCGAACATGTTTGGGACATTTGGCAACTTTGGTGCACCACCGACGGGTAGATGGTAACGTCACGGATTGCATCGTCCGGTGCATGGGACTGGGAAAAGGGGGAAGAAATCGCAAAGACAGGGACCGTCTTCGGCTGTGTAGAGGGGCGCGGGGCATTTCTCGGATGGATATTGGATTTTCTCGCACCGGTTGTAAAGTGACAACTCTCCCAACATCTGTAACGATACTGTCATGAGATGACGAAACCTACCTAATGGTAAATAGAAAAGGGATTTCATGAATCAATTTTAGGAATCGTGCATGCAACCTACATGGGGCGGTGGCTAAAGACAGATTTAGGAATCTGCTTGGCGGCCTATCATGGCATACAGACAACACACGTCCGCATGATTGCCTGGAGGTTACGACGCGGGAGGCGTCCTATGCTGACGACGCGGGGGCGCCAGAGGTGACTCGTCATTTGGGCGACCCTGGTCAATACGAAAGTCGCATGACGGAGATTGACATGACATGCTTCAATCAGATAAAGCCAAGTGTCCTATCCATATTCTGTAGATCTGTCTTCCAGACCTGGCAGTCGGTATGAAGACAGCAAGTGACGTGATAGGCGTTCATTCTATCGGGAGCCGCCGAGGATACCACCGGCGTCGACGGACCCCGACCCCGACCTGTTTTCGCGGGAAACCGGGATGTAAGAGATGGACAAGCAAGATTTAGCTCGGCCGAGTGTATGTAGGACTCGTACATTTTGTTTCTTGGTTTTGGGGAGGGGTCGTCCGGAGAGTTGGTAATTACGGAGGGGGGGCTCGGGCTCGGGGTCTACCTTTTCTACTCTATTAGGAGGAGAAAGAAAGGGGGTGGTTCGATGGCGGCACGGGCAGCCAATTGGATGAGGTAGGCGGACGGGTTCGGGTGTATCGGAGAGTTTGGCGTTCGGGGATGAGATGGCCGAGGACGGGGGTTTGGTGTGGAGTCCGTGTATTTCGGGACCGAGGGGGACGGGGGTGGTGATGATGGTTGGGGGGTTTTGGTGGTTGATAATTCTTGGATAAATAGGTAATGTTTCCCTGAGTTTTTGAGTTGTTTTTGGCAAGCTTGTTTGTGTCGGATGGTGTTGGATTGGTGGATGAGACGAGACGTAGTCGTCAGGGGAGGTGAGTGCTCCGTGGCGGCACTCCAACTTCGTGAAGCTCTGTACTCTTGGTGTTATGAAAAGCTCGTATACCGAGTATGTCACCGCAGGCCTCTCGGTAATTGTCGAAGGGGGGATCACTGTGGCCTGGAAATGCCAGTTGCCATGTCTATTTGAGGGAGCGGAGCTGCTGGACGACGTCGCTTTTCGCGATCTTGTTATGCGATGTCAGAGAAGGCGAAGGGCGGAAAGATTCAAGATGTGATGATTGAGCGGTATTCTTTGGGGGTCCAGTATTGGAAAGATAGTGGCAGAGATCGAGCTCGGGTGTAGGCCTTGGGACCGCTTGAGTCCAGGTGATGTCGGTATCATGCAAGGAGGGCCATCGCCAGTTGTCTACAAGAAGTCCTGGGATGATGAACGAGTGAAGACGAAGTGGGATCTCCAAAGAGTCTCCTTGTCGAGAATGTGTGGTAAACCACAATTCTAGATACTTTTCTCCAACGGTGAAGGTTCATGGGCTGGTAGATTATTGTTGGAAGAGTCGCAGACTTTACGAGTCGTAGCTGCGAAGGCTGTGCCTGGTCATGGAGACTCGATTCGAGGTTGAGGTTGCAGGCGTGGCTGTAGGGCTGATAGAATGAAACCTTCTTGACTAATGATGACCGAAATCAATAGATCGCAATACCAAAGTACCATTTCACCATTCTCTCGCCCTGTTCGATTCAAAGAGGTAACGCTGGCTGTGCTGTAAGCTGTCGATCTCGGCGAGATCTTTCTGGCCTGGCAAGTAAGCACGCAAGCCTCGGTACTCCACATCTAGCTCGTTCTCATGTTCGGTTTGGCGTAGAAAAGGGACTTTGGCTGATATAAGGAACATCTGCCTGGGCCTGAGTGCAGACTGAGCCTCTGTCAAAGTGGCTGTCCATCCGGGAATTGCATCACCCAGGCAGGCTCATCCCGCTTTGCAGGGCCAAGCCGGCTTGCAGATGGATCCCGCGACCTTTCCTAATACGCTCGCCGAGATGGCATCTGCAACCATCTGCACCAGACGGTTAATCTCAGGCACGCTCGAATTTGCAATGTCTCAGTGCAACACACGGAAATGCCCCGGGGGAAGAATACAGTAACTTGTAAAAAGCCCAGGTTCGGCCGCCCAGGTCCCGTCCCTTCTTTGGGCGGTGTTGGACGATTTCCCTTTTCAGCTCGCCGAGATGCTACAAGTGCGCATTGGCCAATGGAAAGCCCCCGCAGCGCGGGTATGAGTGGGGTAAACAGGGAAGGACCGTGGCAAGACCCCGGCAACGCAGCGGCGGCGAGTGAGTCGCTCGGTGCCAAGGGTTGCTTCCTTCTGAAAGGGACTTTGGCTGTGATTGGCGTTGGTGTCGTGCAGCGGGAGCCAAGTTTGGAGGCTCTGTTTTTTTTGTCTTGGGTCCTGGGATGCGAAATCTCTCTGTGTGCGTTTTGATCTTTCCTTGTTTGGGTTTCACGAACGAGGGATCGAAGGATATAACAGGGGAGGGACGACTCGTCTCTGCGGATTGTTCCTTGGAGCTGCGTGTCCATCACGACTACAGTCCCTTTGGGTTCCTGCCAATGTTGATACCGAACCTTCTTGTTGAAGCACAGAATCACTTGGGACACCTCTGGGCCGAACACTGAGATACGAACGACGGCAGGATAATCAGCAAAACGAGCACTTGGCGGACTCGATCTGCCATCATCGAACGAAACTTAATAGACGAAGGCACCCGCCGCAATGTTGTTCAAGAAGCGTCGCAAAGAAGAGGTCGCCGTCGGCTCTCCGCCGGTCGACCAACCCGCCTCTGAACCGCGAACGAGCAACACCAACGATGACCTCAAGAAGGAAGCGCAGCAGGAGCCGACCAAGGAAGTCACGCCGAAGCCCGCAGCGCCGGAGGTGCAGTATCCCATGGGCGTCAAGCTGTTCCTGATCATGTTCTCGCTGCTTGTGTCCATGTTCCTCGTCGCAATGGTAATGAAACCCTCAGACCGTCACAAGTACTCAATACTGACGAAACAACCTAGGACCGCCTCATCATCGCCACCGCGATCCCCCAAATCACCGACGACTTCCACTCCGTCACCGATATTGGCTGGTACGGCTCCGCCTACCTCCTGACCTCGTGCGCCTTCCAGCTCCTCTTCGGCAAGCTCTACGCCTTCTTCGACATCAAGACCGTCTTCACCATCACCGTCGTCATCTTCGAGGTCGGCTCCGCCATCTGCGGCTCGGCCCCCAACTCCGTCGCCTTCATCTTCGGCCGCGCCATCGCCGGCGTCGGCGGCGCGGGCATCGGCTCCGGCGCCACCATGGTCATGGTCCACTCCGTCCCGCTGCACCGCCGCCCCAAGTACCAGGGCCTCTTCGGCGCCGTCTTTGGCGTCGCCTCCATCGCCGGCCCGCTGCTCGGTGGCGCCTTCACGTCGTCCAGCGCGACATGGCGGTGGTGCTTCTGGATCAACCTGCCGCTCGGCGTGGCGGCGCTGTTTGTCATCTTCTTCATCCTGAAGGCGCCAGGACGGGGGCCCGCGGGCGGGTTGCCGTTGAAGGCTAAGCTGAAGCAGCTGGACTTTGCGGGGACGGCGATTGTCGTGCCTGGGACGGTGTGCTTGCTGCTTGCGCTGCAGTGGGGTGGCGTCGAGTACGATGTAAGTCATGATCCCTGGTTCCAAGACGAGTGCCAGCTAACAATATCAAAGTGGAACAGCGCGCGCATCATCGCCCTGCTCGTCCTCGCCGGCGTCTTCCTCATCACCTTCATCGCCATCCAGATCCTCTTCCCCAAGACCGCCACCGTGCCCCCGCGCATCATCACCCAGCGCTCCATCGGCTTCGCCGCCTTCGCGGCCCTCACCCTCGGCGCGCAGGCCATGATGTTCACCTACTACATCCCGATCTGGTTCCAGGCCATCAAGGGCTACTCGGCCGTCGACTCCGGCATCCGCACACTGCCGCTCGTGCTCACGATGATGGTCTTCTCCGTCATCACCGGCGGCATCATCACGCGCATCGGCTACTACAGCCCCGTCATGATCGCCGGCAACGTCCTCATGTGCATCGGCGCGGGGCTCCTGACCACTTTACGAGTAAACTCGGGCGCGGCGGCGTGGGCGGGGTACCAGGTCATCTACGGCGTCGGGATGGGGCTGATATTCCCGACGGTGAACATTGTCGCGCAGACGGTGCTCGAGCTCAAGGACATCTCGATCGGGATCAGCATCATGATGTTCATGCAGACCCTCGGCGGCGCGGTGAGCAACTCCATCGGGCAGAGCATCCTCAGCAACGAGCTCGTGAGCAGGCTGAGGGGTGTCCCCGGGCTCGAGGGCGTGGATTTGAGGGGTGATGGCGCGACGACTGTGGTTAATCTCCCGGACGACGTCAGGGGGGCGGCGCTGGAGGCGTATAACGAGTCGTTGAGGACGGTGTTTGTTGCTGGTGTGAGTTTGTGCTGTGCGGTGATTATTGGCACGGCGGGCGTGGAGTGGAAGAGTGTGAAGAAGGAGGAGCAGGCGAGGAAGAAGGCCAAGGAGGATGCGGAGGCGGCGAAGGCTGCGGCTGGGGATGTTGTCCCGGCTGCTGCGCCGGCGTCGGCTGTTGAGGAGAAGGTTGAGGGGGGGAAAGAGGCGAGTAAAGATGGAGTGAGGGAAGGGGAAGATGGGAAACGGTGAAGGGTAATTAGAATGGCTGATTTGGCGTTTTGATACTTGGTTAAGCTCTGGTAAAATTTAATGATGACGTATGCTTCGGTTCCTTGAAGAGCGTGCCGGCCTGTTCGTGATAGCTCGCGAACACGAGAGGACCCAACTTTCCCACCTAACCCAACCATCTCGAAGTCGTAGTAGCAGACCTTTTTTAATCGCAATCTATCTTTTGTATACTGAACGTCTGGCTTCTCCA